CCCTAAGTTATGTCTGTGAAATCGTAATATTATATCAATTAAATCTTCCCCAAAACCAAGGCCACTTGAAACTAACAGCAACATAGTAACAAGCATCATAGCGAGGATATGCAGTAAAGCCTCTCGTAGATCTTTATTATTAACATTACGCGCGCTCCTTGAATACGACGTGCCTTTTCCTCTCTAACCGGAAAATACCTACTTTGTGAATTATCCGCTTGGGAAACCTGATTCCCAGCCGGTGAACTAAATTCAACCATCACTTACATATTGAATCTCTGTGTGGTAAGTCCAGCTGTCTCGAACTACTGCCAAAGCTTCAGGTGCTATTCTTGTAGCAGCATCTTCCTCACTCGTCCAGATAAACAAGACTTGTTGGTCTACCACGTGATTGCTGTGAAGCCGATCATCCAGAAAGTACTAGGTAAAGTCGAAAACCTTTTCTTTTCCTTGTCTTGTACTTTTTCAGTCTTATTCTTGTTCTTGTGGGTAGATTCTGTTGCACTCTTATTCTTATACAGCATAAGTTTTAGCGATAGTTAATATGGCTGTAGAAAGTAACCTTAGAAATGACACCAAAACACCTTACTCTTTAGTCACAAGGGCCTCAGCCAGAGAAGGCAAAAACCCAGGGACACCAACCCCAAGTCGCGTACCCATCCTAAAGACTCGTGTAGGACTCGTCTGTCCTGATACTACGCCTGCATTGCCACAATCTAGTACTGAAACGGCACAGGCAATACTAGGGGGACAGGATACTACACCTGCATCAACTGAAAGCCAGTGTGTGAAGTACAACAAACCTAAAAGGAAACGCTCAAGACGTCATAAGACCTCGAAGGCGTCACCAAGTAAGGGAGACGAATGCCAGGCGTGCAATATCATTGTTTCTAAAGCTGACTCAGCGTTCGAATGCAATTTTTGCAAACGGTGGGTGCACTGCCGCTGCGACAAAGAGGTGCCGAAAGCATACTACGAGTTTATGAGAAATAACCCGTGCCAGTGGTTTTGGTACATCTGCCCACTCTGTCGCCCTGGCATAGTCACACAGAGCGTGTCTGCGGATAGCAGAAACAACACGCCGCTCTTGTGTCCCAACATGGCCTTATGCAGCTCCCTACCTGCTAACATCACATTGCCAAAACTTGGCACAGACAGTAAGAAGGGCACTCCAGTCCTACTGACTGAAAATGCCAATTTTCACAAGGTGAAGATTCAAAAGGTTGGACCCAAAACATCAAGGAAAGATAGAATTAGAGAAGCACCACTTCCATTCACAAGGAAGGTTGGCAACACAATAAGGGCTGGCCAGAACCCGATGAAGCCTAAAGTTGCTGATGCTGCAAAGGAATACGAGAAGCCAAAGGCCAAACCCAAGTCTGAGGTTAATCGGTCTAATTCGCTCATCCTCTTTAACGTACCTGTGAGCAAGGACAGCTCGCTTGAACAGCGGACCCTGTTCGATTAGGAACAGTGGTTCAACCTGTGCAATAAACTAGGTCTGAATATTAGTTCAGTGAAATTGTGCAGGCTGTACAGGGGTGTCCACACACCTCAAGGTAAGCCACCCCCATTACGGGTTACACTGGACTCTGCCTTAGAGGCCGAAAAGGTACTATTGATGGCTCAGGTACTAGCCATCGACAGAAGCTCGAACATAAGGGTGAGACAAGACAGACCATGGGCTGTCAGACAAATGGCGAGGGAGTCACCGGAACTTTTGCCTTCTACCTCTATGGTGGTACACGGTGTTCCGGAGCTGGAAAAGGGCATTGCCTGTGAAAAACACATGCATGACGTACAGCAGTGGAGATGGCTGTCGTCTCAGATGGCCCTTGGCGCTTCTGGAGCCATCTCCGTTTACCGACTACCTCGCCCCGCTCATCTCACACTGATTAGCTCCCCAAAGCTGCTAAGTGTCACATTCAACTCCCCAGAGCAGTTGGCCATAACACTTCAACGGTGGTATGAGATCAAGGGGAAATTGGGAGGACACATCCGATGCTGCGAAAGCAGACCTCGAACCATAAGGAGGAAGCAAACGGAGGCTTTAACACGTCTCCAAGATTCAGTGACACTAGAGCGATGCAGTTCTGAGAATAACAGTCTGTGTCACCCAAGTGTCCTGCCTAAATCCATGGGAAAAATCCACAACGGGCCGGTTCCATCGGAACGCTGAGGTTGTAAGACTCACTGTCAGCCGCCATTATAGCAATGTAAGGGGGCTGAGAAGAGAAATAGGTGAACTCCGAAATCTCCAAGCACACCTACAACTGAAAATGATCACTCTCACCGAAACATGGCTAACGCCAACTATTGCCGATAATGAAATCAGTATAGGTGATATGGTTTTGGTCAGGAGAGACAAGGATAATAAGGAAGGAGGGGCAGTTGGCATATACTTTGATAGGCAACTTAAATGTGTGCGCGCAACGGACCCACCACTTATTGAACTCCCAGACTCCATATGGTGTCATTTCACCGTAGGCCACACCAAGCATTTACTTGGTGGCATCTACCGATCTCCCAACTGTGGGGCAGAGCACAATCAGCTACTGCTCAGCACTATCACAGGGATACGAGACTTGGGGTATGACCAAATCACCATTGCTGGGGATTTCTATGCCCCATCAGTGAACCTTGGCTCGGGGTATGCAAAGGGAAAATTCGGCCGAAATCTACTGCAAGCTATTCGAAACACGGGACTGACTGAGAACGTTGGAGACGACACTAGGTGGGGCCCTAGTGGAAAGTCATCAAAACTAGACTACATTCTAACTAGTGACCAACTACTTGTCGAGAAGGTCCAGATCATGACTCCTCTAGGAAGTAGTGACCATGCAGTCATAGGTTTCGATCTCGTTCTCCGTGAGCATTTGCAGTGGGACGTTACGCAACCATGTCTGTGTTATAGCAAGGCTGACTATGCTGAAATGCGGAGGCTCTTGTCCGATGCAGACTGGCCCTTAGCATGGGATGAGCTGTCTGTGGATGAACACTGGGAAGCGGTAAAGAAGATTATTCATACAGTAATCTCGGATATCGTCCCTTTAGTCACAACACAGCCCAAAAGAAAGTCATCATGGTTAAAGAGAGGCACGCAGCGTATTTTGCAAGCAAAGCGGAAGGCTTGGTTTACGTGGCGCGTATCTAAAAGCCAGATCAACCATGATGCATACCTGGAACTCAGGAACCGGTGCAATGCAAGAGTCAGGAGGGACAGGAGGTCATTCCAGGCTAACCTTGCTAAAAGACTCCTGGCAAACCCGAAGAATTTGTACCGATTCATGTCGGAAAGGAAACCAACCAACCAGGGAGCGTGCGCCTTAGTAGGCCAAAATGGTTAATATCTCACTAGTTTGGAGATGGCCGAAACATTCAGTTTAGCCTTCGCCAAACAGCTAAACAGCAATGTGAGTATTACCCACCAGTTATAGACCAGTAGCTCTTTCTAGACTTTGAGAAGGCATTTGACACTGTTCGCCATGACCTTCTCCTACACAAAATAAGCCAGGTAGGTTCAGGTAAACCACTTCTGTCATGGTTGAAGGACTACCTAACTGGAAGGCAATTTTGCACCAAGGTCAATCGAGTCCGATCATCTTGGCACAGCTCGTCATCAGGAGTGTCGCAGGGTTCTATCCTGGGACCACTGATGTTCCTGATTTTTATCAGTGATCTACCATGTCATCTAAGTTGCCCGACTCTTCTATACGCTGATGACGTGAAGATATGGAGGGCGATAAAGTGTCCGGAGGACTCAGATAGACTGCAGGCAGATCTAAGGCTTCTGGAAGACTGGGCGGTGGCCAGTGACATGACTTTCAACCTGAAAAAGTGCAAAGTAGTGAAGTTACGCACCTGTAGACTGCGGAATGTAAGTTACACCCTGTGCAATGAAAGCTTGTCCTGCTCAACGTCGGAACGTGACTTAGGTCTAGTTCTAACGGAGAAAATGGACACAAGCGTAGATTACACGGGGGATGTAGCGAGGGCATATGCGGTCATACACTTTACACATAGACAATTAGGTGCACTCACTCCTGAGCTCTTTCTCAGGTTGTATAAAACATACGTCAGACCGCATCTTGAAGTGCATAATATCATTGCACCCGCACTGCATAGAAGAGACTCCAACCTCTTGGAAAGAGTTCAACAACGAGCAACAAAAGGAGTGGTTGGTCTCCGAAATAAACCATATGATGAAAGGCTGAAGAAATTAGGCCTATTCACACTTAGTTACCGTCGTCTTGGGAGGGACTTAATTACTGCCTACAAAATAACAAATGATCAGAATCACCCAAACAAAGGTGTTCTGCCATTGAGTGGAGATACTAGAAGGATAGCTCATCAGAGGGCAAGGACCCGGGTGCGTTCCCACTTCTTTTCCCTGCGGGTTTGCCATCCCTGGAATTCCTTACCGGCAGATGTAGCTATGGCACCATCTGTGGACGCCTTTAAGCGAAGGCTGGACAACCATGCAGCGACACAAGGACTTCATCCAAATGGCCTATCGCCTTTAAATCGCATACACCATTCAAAGGTAGACAATTAAACTGGTCGTTTTACTTCTTTACATTCTCTTCCGTCTCACTCTCCTGACAGCTTTAACTACACCTATTATTATTATTATCATTATTACTGGTATATATATATATATGTATACCGGTTGACCGACTGTTGTTACGTTTTCTTATTCTTTTTCTGTCTTTTAGTCTACCGAAGATCAGGAACCTCTACCTCACAATCAAGAGGCGAGCACAAAGAAATCAAATTGGTTTATACTAGCTCGTAAAAACGATATTGGATATTGGAACAAATCTGGAACTAGTACGTCACTCCTCCAAAGTTAGCCACTAGTACCATATATACTGATATGCATATATATATATACTCAGTACTAAAACTTAACACTACGGTCAGTTGGAAGGACGGATATAGAATTTTCCGATTGATGTAATTGTTTACAAACGCTAATTTATGTAGAGTATTAATCGTCGACACAAGTCGTCGCGCCCAATTTAACGATTGTCAAGGCCATGTTTGTATCCATGCTGTCACTTAAGAGACATTTACTCTGGATTTTCAAGGTTTCTCAATTTCATAATTTGTTCTAACTAAATTTAGAGATCTAAAAAGTCTATTGTTGAACAGCTCGAGGAAATTGATGATGTAAATAATTGAAATGTAATGCAGTAGATACTTGTAGGAAATCTTAGAACTGGAGAGTGAACGATCAAGGAGTATCGATTCAGAGAAACAATTCGCATATAGGCTTATACTCTACGCCATAATAATCTTTGGTCTAAGCTTCATCTTTGTTTATTACAATTACTGGCCGCAAACATTGGGAGGACAAATCACAGTATCCCTGATATTTGCTCTGTATCTGCCTTGGTATGTTCACTTCCAATCTCCTCATTTATCAGCATGCTCCTGTTGAAATATTTTGTCCGGATTATATTCACGAGACGCGTTAACAGGACAAGTAAGTTCGATTAATGCGCTAAATATATTTTTAGATGAAAAATTGAAAAAGCTGCGTGCAACGAAACAAAAATTGGTGCGTTCTAACAAATGTATTTATTTCTTATGACAGTTAGATGATGTGAGGGAGAAAGAGCCATACAACAAGGCGCAACAGATTCTGAAGCGTTTTGATCCATTAACATTTGCTTCCATTGCTGCAGAGGTAGGACGACTTCATGTTATCATTTTTTGTTTGTTCTTGACTAGGAAAGGAAGCTTGCAAAGCCTGGCTTTGGCTCCATGATCAACTTGGAATCTTCTCAGTCAGAAATACGACGTCGAAATACTTGTGACGCTGCTGCAGGTGATAAACTTTCGAATCCTGGATTATCAAATGCGCAATTGGTTGCTCCTTTTTATCGTGTACTTGATATGCGTCTTATTAAATTAACGTAACACTTCATAGCAAGCAGTAATTGTGAAGAAAACAAAGTATTTGATAGGTCGGACTTGTAGGCTGAATACTTTACAAACATGATTATATATATACATAATGGTTTAGGATAAAAGGTTTGAAGTCTATGTTAATCCTTTTCGAGTAAATTTCTGTGCTTGTCCAAGCCTTTCCTGAATAAACCAATTGAGGTTGCAGCTATCACTTCTTCTGGGAGTTGGTTACACAGGTTGATGACGGTGTGAAAACCAATACTACACAGGAATAGTTTCTTCTTGGCTTTTGAACTCCCCTGCTGTCTTCTAAGGTGTTGTGACCTAATGGAAAGGAAAAGAGGGAGAGTAGATCAGGTCCCTAGTCAATATAATTAAGATTTGAAATATTGCAGTAAGATCTCTCTGCCTGCGATATAATAGGGAGAAGAGATTTAAGCCATCTAGTCTTTCCTCGTATGATAAATTAGTCACGCCGAGAATCATCCGTGTTGTCTTCCTTTGAAGCCTTTCTAGAATATGTGAGTCCCATTTAAGACTGGCTGGCCCCCTGTATACAGTTTTCCAGTTTTGACGTCAATGGGGATGTATGTGAAGAGCTGAATATATATATGGTTAATATATGAATAGTGTAATTTAGCAAGTTATCGGTTTTCATTGATCATACATCCTTTCGACTTAGTAAGCATTTATCACAATGTTCGTATGTTTGTATGTTGATTTTCCTAAAGAATATAAATAATTATATCTTTAGAGTATTTAGCTAATGCGTCTTATCAAAGTTTGTGATTTCACCAGTTACTGCGTTTCCATATTTATTTCCTCTTTACACTTATTATAGATCTCCGTACAAAAATTGACCTAATGTTTTGTTTTTTTACCATGGTGATATCAGTTTTACTGTCCGTCCTCAGACTTATGGCCTTACGTACATTTAATGAAGGCTTATCTAAGTGTGGTTGGTGACTGACCGATTTTTACCGTAGAAATCTGCACAGAGGTAGAGGAAAAAAGGCAGTTTAGGAAAGGAGATCGGTAACGTAGAGAAACATGACGCAATGAATTTCGAAAGAGTGAATGCATCTGCACCACTGATGACGATTTTAAGTCATATAACAAAGTCTCAAGTCATTGGTTTTTGGCATCCTAAGGATCTCAAAGTAGCAGTGCACACTACCATAGCATAGTTAACAGTTGTTTGTGAATAAACCACTCAGAGAAGTATACTGCAGCTAGAGAAGTAGATAGTCATCTATCGCCTTATTTTTTTTTCAACCTGACAACCAATCATCACTTCACATGCTTGTCACACATATGGATTCACACATGTAGTTTCGACTTATCATTAAGTATACGACTTATTGTAACTTGGCGTTGTTAGTCAATCAACGTTTTACTAATTAACATGTGTAAAACTTGGGCACTGTGGTAGTAAGTGATTCCATATTACTTTTTATTTATTAGATATATCACACAGTGAAACAGTATTATTTATTGGATGACGAGGTTTCAAACACAATTTATATATTGTTCACAATCATATCAATTGTAGTCACACGACTTCGAAAATTGAGTTTTATAGTTGTCTCTATTCTTTCTAATTTGTCATCGTAGGTGTTATAGAATTTTCCAGATGTCTGGAACAGGTGTTGAATCATTCTTATTACACGTGTTGGTAGTTGATTGGATTAATAAACCGTCCGTTATCAATCTCTCCCTTCACCTTGTTACATTAGGTTTTAAGTGTCACCTTATCCCATCATCCTATTGTATGGTTGTGTGTAATAGAATGTAGTACAATAGGTGGACTATATATCAGATTTCTTATCTTATTAGGGTCAGCTAGTCTACATTTTGCTAGGATTTTGTGCTGCTCCACCAGTCTGGCAGACTGAGCCTGTTCTGCTCCACAGGATCCTTTAACTGACAGCTTGTTTCTAATTGAGTTTGTGGGTTTGAGCGTTTTACTAATTTTAACTTTAATCATCCGCTTCTTTGTGCTTGAATAGTATAAAGAAAGTAACATGGAGCTGAAAGAGAGCTGTGATTATAACATGTTCTCTACTGAAACCAGTCCGTCAGTCAGTCAGACCTCTTTGCTGTGCCTATTGGACCTATTTTAACAATATATGTCGGCTATATCGATATAAGGCGTCTGTTTATTGGTCTACCAGATGGAATAGTTCAGAGGGGAATGACAGCTAATTTCAGTTTCGAGAATTGCTTTAATCTTGACTGTATTTACGACACATTCATATATTTTTTAACTATTTGAATAAAGTACCGTATTTGTGGTCAGGCATAAAATGGACCCACACAAAAAACTTGCAGGATCTGGACTTCGCCTGTGATAATTGTCTGATTTCCCATAAACTCGAAGATATGCAAGTGAAAAGCAACAAGGTGGCAGCAGAAGCATCCAGAGAAGATAGGACTTCAGGTGAACATTGACACAACAGAGATAGGTGATGAAGATTCCTGGCCAACAACACCAACAGCATTAACAGTTGAGAAAAATCAGCATAAATGGGAGAAATCTGAAAGAAACAACCTCCTTCACCTACCTGGGAGGCATCGTTTCAACTACGGGCAGAACTGATAAGGATATCAAACCAGTGAGGATCGGGAAAGCAAGGAAAGCTTTCATTACTCTCAACAGCATTCAACATGAAAAATAAGATCCGGATTTTCAACTCCAATGTGAAGTCAGTGCCACTTTACGGATCAAAGACTTGGCGCGTCATGAAGAGCATCTCAAACAAACTACAGACTTTCATTAAGAGTTGTCTTCGCTCAATACTATTCAAGACCAGATGGCCAGTCAGAAAAGATCAGCAACAGGGATCTCTGGGAGCGCACCAACCCATCAGGGACCGATTGTGCCACAAATAAGCAGGATGAAATGGATGTGGATTGGCCATACTCTGACGAAACAAACCATCATCACGTGAGTGACATCACACGTCAGGCCATCGCTCGAGTGAAACCCAGACGGTAAGCGGCGAGTTGGTCGTCAGTGTGAGGGTGCCATGGAGGAGGCGATATGAATAGGAGATGAAAGCATATGGGCATACTTGGAACCAGGTGAAAACGTTAGCAGAGAACCGAACGCAATGGAGACGTCCGGCTGAAGCCCTATGTTCCTCTAGCAATTAAAGGACATAATGAAAATAATAAATAAAATAATTTGTGGTCAGTAAGCTTAAACTCCTTTCACAGGCATCTGTATCATTTGATCAGTAGCATCACTTTTCATGGACTAAACAAGTATACAAGTAAAGTTAACATCTTTACTAAAATGGCATTAGTAATGATTACCACCATTAGTTTGCTGAGAGTAAGTGTTTGATTCTACTTTTGTTTTTTCTTTTTGTGTGGTTTTGTAGACCAATGTGTGCCTACACAACCAAGTGGTTCCGTTCAGGCACCAGCACCACGTTTGTTAAGACCACTTTTGCCTAGAGAACGTTCATTAGTTGATAAACTTTTGGATCTATTGGTCGGTGATGGTCCTGATAAACGGTTTGCTCTAATCTGTGGCGAATGTGCTGCGCATAATGGAATGGCTTTAGAAGAAGAATTTGAATATTTAGGTTAGTTGAACCTCTGTTATATATTATTTAAACTGGTGTTTTTTTTAAAAAAAATTTTTGTTACATGTTGTGGAAATAGCTTCATACATTGAGTTGATCACGGATTGATATCAGTTAGAGAACCGTCGAAAACCAGCAGTGGAGAGTACTGGACAGCTGTTTCATCAGCCTAGTTTGGGAATCATCTGGACCCACTTCCCGAGTTCGGACCCAGGATCTTGCGGTTACAAGGTAAGCTGGCTCGTAATCCATTCATCCACTAACCAACTATAGCAAATCAATTTGATGCTCGCTAGTGACTGACTGGCTATAGGACGGAGTTTCCTGGAGTTCTAGTGAGAAGTCGTGACCAGTAAGGTCCATCCAGTCAAGTGTGAGGATGGATATCCCACCAATGACTACCGATTGGTTGGTGCCAGTTGCGCTAAATGCATCACAAATTGGTAGAAGTTAGAATTCATGGGCTGACCATTGAATCGGTTGGGTCCCAGTGGCTGAATGATATACGAGCGCCAGGTTGCCCTGTAACTGGAAGGTCCTGGGTTCGAACCCCGCTGTGGTGGGTGCGTACTGCCAATGATTCCCAAACTAGGCTGATGAAACAGCTCGCTGTCCAGTACTCCCTGTAACTGGTTTTCAATGGTTCTCTAACTGATATCAATGCGTGATCAACTCGTAAAAAACAAAACTTATCCTTACAAACCGACTATAGAAAATTTATGCGTTGAACAAAATGTAATTTATCTGGATAGTATGCAGATGTGCCTCCTCATCTGCTTAAGCTAATAGGCCTAGGATTTAAATTTCACTCCATCTATCTCAGTCTGAGTAACTGAGTAGTGTCACATTAACGTCGTATATGATAAATGTGCTTCGTAACCTGGTTGGTACATGAAAAATCTGCCTCAGGTAGCTTAGTTCTGACTAACTTAGCTAGTGGTAATGGTTTAACGTCCGACCAATAGCTGCTACCATGATATGATGTTCGGGGTTGCGTATCGCAATAGCCCAACGAGCTACACTGGCTAGAATTATTGTCTCTGCAGGTCCTACCATGCCAGGGAGGTTGTTAGAGTAGTGATTAGACTAAAAGAAGTTAACGGCGTAGTGTAAGAATTTCTCTTACACTATGCTGGGGGTCTGTGGGCGAAGTGGTACTGCCACTGGGGAACAGGGATGTAAAAGCAGTGAAGTGTTTCCCTCAGATGACCAGCATGCCAGCCAGCTATGCTGTCTCTCCACCCCAGAGGGAGAGAGGGGGTTAGAAAAAGTTGACCCCAACCATTGTACATCCCGACTTACCCCACTTACGGTGGTCCGTAACCGGTGGTAAGTTTACTGATACGGAATCAAACCAAGAAACCAGTTCATACCGGCCGTGTGTGACTGGTCGGCCTCAAGCAGTTGTCCCCTGGGCTCTACGGTCACGCAACACTAACCCTCTTTCTGTTTCAGGTACCCGAATAATCAACCAACTTCTACAGTGTGGGCAGCTGGGAGGTAACAGCCGCCCACACATTTCAAAGAGCACACGAAGAAATTGTACTACTGGCGAATAGAGAGGTGTAACGCCAGCAAGATGTTTGTCTCATGCCCAGGAGGAAGCCAGCTATGTTGTTTCTCCTCTTTTGAAGGGTGTGTGTGTGTGCTTAGTAGAAGTGGATCTTAAAAACTGTACATTTTGACTTTGTGACATTTGGTAGAGAACAGTAAAATCTTTATATATATTCCACTATCCAATGAAAATAGGAGGTAATCCTGTAGCGAATCTGAATGATAGACCATAAGGTTTCATGCAGATGTATTCTCTCTCTCTTTGTTTTTTGATAAAGATTTGGTCAGGTAAATGTAGTAAATTCACTGTGTGGCAAAACGATTTACGAACATAGATCTGTATTCTACCGTTATCTATTCGTAGAATAAGCAGACGACGGAATGTGTTCACAGTGTAAATGATCTATCTAAGTTATTCACTGACCTTTTTTGAGTAGATGGTGTGTCAGTTTGATTTTAAAGATGCCTGATTTTTATTCTATGCTATCAATATTGCTTTCCAGCATTATTTATTACCATATGACATGAATATACCAGTTGGAGTCATTCAGAATAAGTTATCACCTAATACAACACTCCATATATTTTTTAATGGCGATAGATGTTTGCGTCTAATGTCTTGCGTTAATTCCCCGATGAATAGATGAATTAAAGTATTAGGGGGTGAATTGTGTTACCGAGGAGTAATCTTGTCGATTTAGAGGATGTGAATGTTATAGTCTTTTTAAGTGAAGACACTGGAAAAATTCAGGGTCTTCTGAATATCTTGAAAAGAAATATTCGTATTCGTTTGTTGTACGATTTGTCTCTGGTCTGCACTGACTCCTATCTTTAGGATAGTGGGTGAAGCCGTAGAGCATTTAGGCCCTCTCATATCTCTCACTTTCTATGGCCATGTCTCACAAACATTAGGTATGACGGATCAAACTGTTGCGTGGTACACACACATCCTATGCTCGATAGCCGGATACCGCGTCTGTGTACCATAGGTGTAAGCGTTTTTTATGTCCTGAGATTTTGTTAGCAATCAGTCTACTGATGGGGCTGAAAGTAAGTGAAGTGGTAAACACGCTCTACCACTGGCGTCACTTACCATTTAACAGGATCGAATCACATGCCAAACATTCGAAGATTTCTACTCAAGTTGTTGAAAAGATCTTGAATTTTGTATGTAATATTTTAAAAAGAAAATAGTTTATTTAGTTCCATATTAGTTTGTTTATTAGGTATATCACACAGTCACAAAAAGAGTATCAGTGTTTACTGGATGACGTTTCCAATACACCTTATTTATTGCTCATAATCATATCAATTATAATCACACAACTACGAAACTTGAGTTTCATAGTTTTCTTTGTCCTCGCCTATTTGTCGCCGTTGGGGTAGTAGAATTTTCCAGATATCCGACTGGACAGATGTTGAATCAATCCTATTTCATGTATTTGCAGTTCATTCGATAAACAAAGATCCGTTATCAATCTCTCCCTACACCATGTGACATTAGATTTTGAAACTGTCATCCTATCCCATCCTGTTGTGTGGTTGTGTGTAACTGCATTTAGTGCTTGCGGTAGCTGAACTGTTCTCTAGATTTCTTATCTTATTCGGCTCGAGTAATCTAGATTTTGCAAGTTTTTTATGTTCGGCTGACTGACTGCGCCTGTTTTACTAGTTTGACTTATGTATTTGTACATGTGTACATATGAGAGAAGCCTTGAAACTTAATAATTACTCCGAAATATGTAGGGAAATGTAAAAATAAAATAAATAATGATAGTAGTGATTGTGATAATAATAATATTAATGACGACATGCAAGTCAAATGTGCGCAAGACAACACCAACAATATTATATTATTATTATTGTTCCCTTGGGTTCCTAGTGGAACATAGGGCTTCAACTGCACGCCTCCACTTGCTTCTGTCTTGTGCTGTACTTTTCACTTGCATCCATGTTATTCCATACTGTTTCAGTTCCTCATCACACGATCTTCTCCATGTCACCCTTGGACGTCCCACTCGCCGCTTCCCTTTCGGGTTCCACTCGAGCTATGGCCTGACGCGCGATGTCACCCAACGGCCTCCTCAGTGAGTGTCCAATCCATCTCCACTTTCTCCTGCATATTTGTTGGGCGATTGGTTCCTGTTTCGCTTGTTCCCATAGTTTCTTGTTTGTGATTCTTTCCGGCCATCTAATCTTCAGTATGGAACGAAGACAGTTGTTGATAAAGGTCTGCAACCTGTTGAAAATATTCTTGGTTACCCGCCAAGTTTCTGATCCGTATAGAAGAACTGACTGACTTGACGTTTGTATTGAAAATCCGAATTTTGTTGTTGATGCTGAGTGACGAAGATTTCCAGATTGGTTTCAGGTTGATGAATGTGTTTCTCGCCTTCCCGATTCTCGATTTGACATCCTCGTCCGTTCCTCCTGTAGTTGAGACAATGCTCCCTAGATAAGTGAAAGAAGTAACCTCTTTCAAATCCCTCCCGTTGATGGTGATTGGCGTTGGATGTTGCTGCTGTTGTTGTTGTTGTTGGTTGGTTATTTTCATAACCTCCGTCTTGTCTATGTTCACCTGCAGTCCTGTCTTTGCTGCTTCTTCGACCAGTTTGTCGGTTTTTGCTTGTAAGTCTTCGATTTTGTGTGACATCAAACATAAATCATCTGCGAAATCCAGGTCTTCTAGGTTCTTCACGTCGGTCCAGGATATCCCTGTCTCCTCGTTTCCCACTGTCTGACGCATGATCCAGTCCACCACAATTAGGAATATCATTGGTGATAATAAGCACCCTTGTCTGACTCCTGTGTTTACTCCAAACGCTTCGCTGAGTTTTCCGTTGTGGATCACTTGACATGTGCCGTTGTCGTACAGCTGTTGAATAAGGTTGATGAATATTTGGGGTACGCCGTAGTACTTGAGTAGTTTCCAGATTACTTCGCGGTCAACGCTGTCGAAGGCCTTCTCAAAGTCTATGAAGTTGAGGTAGAGATTTGATTGCCATTCCATGCTTTGTTCGATGATGATGCGTAGAGTTGCAATTTGGTCAGAACATGATTTGCCTTTCCTGAATCCAGCTTGTTCTGGTCGGAGTTCTGTATCCAGTGCGTCCTTTATTCTCTCCAGGATGATGCGACTCAGGATTTTACTTGGCGTCGACAGGAGCATGATTCCTCGCCAGTTCTTGCAGAGTCCTAGGTCGCCCTTCTTTGGTAGTTTCACGAGGTAGCCTTTCCTCCAGTCAGTAGGCACCTTTCCCTCCTTCCAGACCTTTTGTAATAATGGAGTCAGCATCTCTGCTGTCGTTTCTGGGTCCGCTTTCAGTGCTTCAGGGGGTATTCCATCTGGTCCAGCTGCTTTTCCAGCTTTCAGAAGCTTGATTGCATTCAAGACTTCAGCTTTCGTTGGAGGATTGGTGTCCACTTGCAGTTGTGTACGTGCTGTTGTTGGTATTTCTGGACGGGTTGTAGGTGGTGGTCGGTTCAAGAGTCCTTTGAAGTGGTCCGCCCATTGTTTAATCTGTCTTTCTTCTTTGGTAATTGGGTTCCCTTGGCTGTCTTTTATAGGTTTCACTTGTGTTGATCTCTTCCCGGATAGAGACTTGGTTATCTGATATAGTGTCCTCAGGTCCCTTTTGCCTGCTGCCTTCTCAGCTTCAGTGGCCAGATTGTTGTAGAATTGTCTTTTGTCCTTCCTGGCACTCTTCTTCACTTCTTTGTCCAGTGCTGTGTAAGTTGAGCTCAGCTTCTCTTTCTCTTGTCCATCTTTGCATTGAATCATTTTCTCTTTCACCTTTCTCCTCTCCTCTATTAGCTTCCAAGTGTCCGTTGAGAGCCATTCCTTGTCTTGTTTCTTCTTTCTTCCTAAAACTGTTGAACACGTTTCGTTGAAAATTACCTTCAGAGAGTTCCAATGGTCTTCCACGGATGATTCCTCAGTGGTGCCACGTAGTGTTTCCTGCTTTGCTCTGACAGTTGCAGTGAAAATGTCCTTTGTGGTTGTGTCCTTCAGTTTTTGCGTGTTGAACTTGCATTGTGGCCTATCCCCAGGTATCCTCGAGGCTTTCAGCTTCACCTTGAAAGTCCCTTGTACTAGATAGTGGTCTGAACCCACATCTGCTCCTCTCCTCGATCTTGTGTCCAGTAGGCTCCGTCTCCACTTCCTTGAGATTGAAATGAAGTCTATCTGGTTTTTGGTGTGTCCATCTGGTGAAATCCATGTCGCCTTGTGTATATCCCTGTGTTTGAACACACTGCCACCAATCACCAAATCATTGAAGGCGCAGAAGTCTGAGAAGAGTTCACCATTTTCGTTCATCTCACCGAGGGCCTCACGACCCATGGTGAGTTCTCTTCCTGTATTGTCTCCTCCCAGTTTCGCATTCATGTCACCCATCAGGATTTTGATATCACTCTTTGGGACGTTGTCCATTACTGTTTGTAGTTGACTGTAGAAATCCTCCTTCTTCTCTTTTTCTGAGACGTTTGTAGGCGCGTAGCACTGAATGATTGTAACCTTTTTTCCTTTTGAGTTGAACCTGGCTGTCATTATCCTGGAGGAGATTGGTTCCCACTGCATGAGAGCTTTAGCCGCTGTTGGTGACATCATGATGGCCACTCCCTCGGTGTGCTCGTGATCGTCCTCTGGGTGACCGGAATAGATTATTGTCTCTCCAGTTGATAGTTGGCACCTTCCACATCCGTTCCATCTGCTCTCGCATATTCCCAACACTTCTATTTTATATCTCCTCATTTCTGCGGCTACCTGAGCAGCCTTTCCAGTTTCGTACATTGTACGAATATTCCACGTCCCCATCCTTATTTTTGCTTTCATCGAAAGAAGGCACATCGGCTGACTGGCTTCCCGAAGGCTTTCACCAGCCTGCGTCATTTCACTTCCCCGATTCCAGCGAAAAATAAGGTTATTGTTTGTATTTTTAGAATTTTTAATATATTTGTGCGTTGAAGTTTTAGTAGCAATTTGGTTAAGTTTTGGGGGTGGAGTTGCTAGCACCACGCCCCAACCCTCCCTCTTTATCCGGGCTTGGGACCGGCTAGAACAACACCAACAATAAGGAATCTAAATCATCAGTAGTAATTCCATACAAGGAAGGAACCTCGGAAACCTTACGCAGAATTCTCAACAATGGTGGCAGGAATGAAAGTGCCTGGCATTCAAACACCCCACAAACTAAATTAGAAACAAGCTTTGTCGGTTCCAGGATCAATCCTGTGGCGCCAATTAAACAAAACAATTCAGTTTATCTAATACCCTGGCTGCAATGATTGTCAGGTCAAATACATAGGTCAAAGTAGTAGAACAAGGTCAGTCAGACTAGCCGAACATAAAAACCTAGCAAAATGTAGATTAGTTGACCCGAATAAGATAAGAAATCTAGAGAACAGTTCAGCTATAGCACTACATGCAGTTACACACAACCATACAATAGGATGACGGGATAAGATGACAGTTTTAAAATCTAATGTAGCAGGGTGAATGGAGGGAGAGATTGATAACAGAAGCTTTGTTTATCGAATCAACCGAGAGAAAGAGAGAACGTGTAATAGAAATGATTCAACACATGTCCGGTCGGATATCTGGAAAGTTCTACTACCCCAACGACGACAAATAGGAGAGAATAAAGAAAACTATGAAACTCAAGTTTCGAAGTAGTGTGATTATAATTGATGAAATGATTATGAACAATAAATTTTGTTCGAAACGTCATCCAGTAAACACTAATACTGTTTCTGTGACTGTGTGGTACATCTTATGAACAAACTTACATGGAATTACTTACTAGCACAGTGTTATAATTCCTCTCTCATACTCCCCTGTTTTTTTAACTTCTCTTCTTCATTTAGCATTTCGGTGTTGCTACTGTAATCATTTTAATCCAGCCCGTCGTTCCCGATTACAGACCTCATTGGCATCAAGGAGTATTGGCAACTTGGATCCAGTCAATTCACAGTCGACACCTTGCCTACTAAGTGAACCTAGCCCCACAGGTTTACTGGAAACAATGGCAGAAGAGGTGACAAGAATCTCAGGCGACGATGGCAACCTCATGAATGAGCATAATGATGACGGCAACACTAGGACTGCTGATGTTCCCCGGAATGCTATCACAGCTAATGGAGACGATAATGCTGAGGATGATGTTGATAATAAGAGTGACAGTAATAAAGGACATCTAACAAATGGATTCACCAAAGATGTGGGTTTAGACAATGCTGACAGCAGTAGTAATAGTAATAGTGATGGTGTGGAGGTTAGTCATCCTAATTGTGATAATTAAAACCAGTCTATACCTGTGAAAAAGTAAATTGATTATCTCAGGAAATTTCGTCGCCAAAGTACAAATTTGTGTTGTTGTTGTTGTATGATGTTCTGTGTTAATTCTTCACTTTTGCCTTTCCTCTTCTAATTTCACAGTCTCTCAGTGTGTATATATCTGTTTTACATATCTATTTATTCTTTATTGTTTCTTTATTAACGAGCACAGTCGTTAAAAGGCTGTCTTACTTTCGTTTATTGTCGATGAATAGGCGTGTATTGATGAGGTTCCCCTCGATGTACATATTTATACACACACAAAGTCTGTGCGTTTTTGTCTCTGTTTTTCGTGTACATATGTATCTACTATCAACTGTAAAATAAACTTTTCCAGTGTCTTTTGTTTTCTCTCCTTCCCCGTGTAATTCTTGCTTTTTGTTCAATATGAATGTTTGTTAAGATTTTCAGGGGAATATAGGTGGCATATTTGCCACTTGTTGACGCGAAAGTGGCATTTTGTCGATTCTATTGATCGACAGGTACTATGGCAATGTTAAGCTAGCGTTCTATCTCCCGCGTGAAGTGGTATAATAAGGTGAGCAATATTCAGGTTAGGCGTCGAGTGCTAGGTAAGGCGGGGAAATCAATCGACGAGACTGTGAAATTACTTCGACTGAGATGGTTAGGACATGTATTACATATGCCTAGTCATCGCCTTCCTCGACGGGTAATGTTAGCTGATATCGGGCCAGGCTGGAAAAGAGCTAGTGGCGGTCATACCAAAACATGCCATCAGTCAATGAAGTCCACAACAGTTAGTTTAAGCCATGTAGGAAGGTGTAGACTTCCTGGTTGGGGTCCGCGGGACGGTAAAAACCAATGGTTGAAACAATTGGTGATATGGCTCAAAATCGTTCTCAATGGCTGGCGCAGATGCATCCACTCCTTGTGACTTATGATTTCGATTGAAACTGTTTTGTTCTTCGTTATTACTAAACCTTTGTCTCACACCTCTGTTTACTGTCTATATTATGCATTTCTTCTACTTTCTTCTCTTGCTTTGTGTGGTACATGCAGGGAGTGTGGCGACTTGAAATGCCGCACATATGTGCAAAGTTCTATGTTGGAAACCGACCGACCGACCGAGTGTTAGGCTAGTGGGAAAGGGAATGCTGAGAAAATATATTTCGTGTATTGATTAAGGTGGCCACCAGGTAAGAATCTACGGAGAGTGTTGTCATCTGACAAGTATGATGACAACCAGTGGTTTCTGCCAGAAATGGTCACTGTCTCCAAATCTTGTGCACTGTGGTAGAGTGTAACTCCATTATGCGTAAATTTTGTTTTGATAAAGTCTCACAGTGTTATACAGTAATGTTTACTGATGACCTCGTTTCGAGCTGATAATTTAAATCCAGAGGATGTCATTCCTAACATAGAAGTAGTAATAAGTTCAATTAATAAGACGACAACAGAAGAGGTTCGAGCACAATATGTATTAACCCTGAAAAATCGAAAGAGAGCAAAACCAAACTTAACAAAATCAGCAAGATTAGCTCTAATTAGTCTAAAACGGGATAAAAACATAGTCATCACAAAGGGAACTCTACAGCAGATTCGGATAAATTTGACGATATGAAGAAAGTCACTGAGCATATAGAGATGGGTCCATATAAGGAAATTAAGAAGCCTGTAGATACAATAATGTCCACTTTCCCCTTTTCTGTTTAACTTCATCATAGATATGCTAATGGAAGTATCCTTAACTGAACTTAACGACTTAGGAATCGACTTGTTACCAGGGAATAGTCTTATGGACTTAGAATATGCAGACGACATAGTCCTGTTAGGGAAGGATGCTGACAAAATTCAGAGTCTTCTGAACACCTTTAGCAGCAATCTTCGTATGTTTGGCATGCGATTCGCCCCTGTAAAATGTAAGATGCTGCTACAGGACTGGACTACGTCAACTCCTAGCTTAATGATAGGGAGTAAAATGATAGAACATGTCGACCACTTCACCTATTTGGGAAGTTGTATCAGCACCAACGGATTGATTGGTGACGAAATCTCAGCACGGATCCAGAAAGCTCGGGCTGCTTTCGCTAACTTACACCGTCTCTGGCGTAGGCGTGACATCCGGCTATCAACCAAGGGACGTGTGTACTGCTCAGCAGTTCGTTCCGTCCTTCTCTATGGCGGTGAGACATGGCCATTGAGAGCGGAAGACATGAAGAGATTGTCTGTTTTTGACCACAGATGTTTACGATCTCTTTCTCACGTTAGGTGATATAATAAGGTAAGTAATGTTGACGTTAGGCGTAGAGTGTTGGGCAAAGAGGGAAAATCAATTGAAGAGGCTATAAAGTTACATAGATTGAGATGGCTAGGTGACGTGCTGCGCATGCCTAACCATCGCCTCCCCACTCCGACGGGCATTACTAGCTGATATAGGTGCAGGTTGGAAAAGAGTAAGTGGTTGCCAAACAAAAACATGGCCTCATCAATCCATGAAATCCCTGACAGTTAAACTGAGTCAGGTAGGGAGATGCAGACTTCCGGGTTGGGGCCCGCCCTCGGGACTCTAAGAATCAATGGCTGGAGACAATAGGTGACATGACTCAAAATCGTTGTCAATGGCGCAGATGTATTCAGTCTCTGTAAACTTTCATATTCCTTTCTACTATTACTCATTCTGTTTCACTCTTATACTTGTCAAAACTCTATTGATTCTCTTCACTCATCTTCTTGTCTACGTTTGTGTGCTATTTGGAATGTGGCAACTCGAACTGCTGCACTTCGGTGCCAAGTTCTATGTTGAATCCAGACATCAGTTTGGAAAGCCACAAACATTATGCCTATCTCATAATAGGAGTGATATCATTTGTGTATCATTCATCGGATTATCAGTGTTTTTCTGGTTACATCAAAAATACACGTTAATTTTCTCTTCTTGAGGGTTTTCAATGTCCTAAAAAGTAATTTCGAAGCTAGGTCCCATCCAAGTTGTGAATGATTAGACAAGCTTTTTCACTTTACAGGTGATGCCGTCTTAGTCTGAGTAAACATGTAGTCTTCAAAAGGCGTACTTAATCAGTTGATTGTCAGTTCTCTGAAACGTCTTTTTTGTGATATAGGTGGAAACCTGTGGCCCCATTCACACTCACAAGTGAACCGTTAGAAGTAGTCAAGTATTTCGTGCATTAGGTTGTTGTTGTTGTGCGTGTGTTTGTGGTTGTGTGACGAATGAAATTCCCTATCGTATAATAAAAATCAGATTGACATGTGTTAACATAGATCATCTCTGCCGCCTTCACGGTGTTAGTCTGCCCATTAAGGGTTGGGTCTACAGCGTTTAGGTACGTGAGACGTGGCTTTCTCTGAGTGACAATGTGCAGCCACTCCATGTTTTCGATTACGTTCATCGTAGTAGACTTGTTTTTCTTTGCGACATTTAAGTAACTTGAAAATCCCCATTCAGTCATAGAAAAGAAAAAAAGGTGTTCAGCCAAGAGACCCTTTTCGGCGAATTCATTCACTGAGCTGTACAATCGCATATTTATACAATTTTGTTTGTTTGTGTGTGTGTGTACATTAGATTTATAAAGTTTAGATAATTATGTAATATAAGTATTTTTTGGCTTGGAAACAAACGTTAAGATGGAAAATAAAATAGAATTGATTAAGTGAGTAGAATTCAGATTAGGTCAGGTTGGCAACAGTGTTAATGAGTGGTGGTGTTTAAAATCAAATAAGGGTGGGGTTAGAGAATAATACAGTTGAAAATAAGTAAGCCACAGAAGATGAAATGAGCACTCTTAAGAAAATCCTCCTTGATAATGGCTATCCAGAAAGATTTATCACAAAATCAATGAAACCCAGACCAGAGAAGTCGTCCACACCCAGTGCTCGAAAAAGACTTCTCTATATGAACCTACAGTTCAATGGAGACCAATCTACAGAAATACTGAGAAATCGGCTCTCCCGCTCATTGAAGAAAACCTTCGTTGCAACTGAATTACGACTGACGTTCTCCGCGAGACCAATGATTCGTATGTCCGTGAAGGATAAGCTACCGCTGTTGGCCTCATCTATATGCATCTACCAATTCACCTGCTCGTGTGGAGCCAGGTATATCGGCCGTACTCAGCGTTCGCTATCCAAACGCGTCAACGAACATTTACCTTCATGGTTTTATAAAGGAGAAAACCGATGCCCCCGCAGCTCGTTCCTTGAACATTTGATTGACTCTGGACACCAAGTCAAACCAGAAATAAACTTCAAAGTTATCTACAGAATACAAGGCAATCTTGCTAAAAGTGTACGGATCAAACTTTTCCACATCGCAGAAGCAATGGCAATTCATCTGCTAAATCCTGAACTCTGCATACAAAAGAAATTCGTTCATTCATTAAATCTACAATGGACGTAATCTTTCTTAATTTCAGTCTTACTAATTGTATTATTTTGTCTTTTGCATTTTATTATTTCACATTTTCACTTATATTATTCTCTACCCCACCCTTTTGTAATCTCTACCCTCATTAACAATGTTACTAACTTGACCCACGTCCAATTTCTAGTCAACTGTGTTACGTCATCCGATTAACTTACTTATTTTCAACTGTATTATTCTCTAACCCCACCCTTATTTGATTTTAAACACCACTCATTAACACTGTTGCCAACCTGACCTAATCTGAATTCTACTCACTTAATCAATTCTATTTTATTTTCCATCTTAACGTTTGTTTCCAAGCCAAAAAAATACTTATATTACATAATTATCTAAACTTTATAAATCTAATGTACACACACACACACAAACAAAATTGTATAAATATGCGATTGTACAGCTCAGTGAATGAATTCGCCGAAAAGAGTCTCTTGGCTGAACGCCTTCTTTTCTTTTATATGACTTGTTTTTCATCTAATGATGTCACGGAGCAGGTGGTTTTGAGGTTAGACAGGTTTTTAAATATAATATGGAATAAAAAATTTCGTAAGACACCGTCTGTGTTGGAAATTTTTTATGAATGCCTTTCTGACGACTTCTACACTGTTCACTGTCAGCTAACCTTTACTCCAGTTGGATCAATCAGAGAGATGATCAGTCCATGATTCGCTATCGCAGGATAAGTGTAACAGGTATGTTCGATTAGTCTAATGTTGATGTATCATGACTCATTCGATAGTCTTTGAATAGTCATATGATTCATTGACGTACATTTCACCAAGCTGACAGGCAATCTCACTACTCCTGATCTACTAGTTTGACCTATGTAGTTAGTTGACCTCACTCACAGTCATTGCAGGGTATTTTGTAAATTACGCTGCAACAATCTTCGTATGTTTGGCATGCGATTCGCCCCTGTAAAATGTAAGATGATGCTGCAGGATTGGACTTCACCGACCCCTAGATTAGAAATAGGAAGTGAAGTGGTAGAGCACGTTGACCGCTTCACTTACTTGGGAAGTACCATCAGCCAATG